ATGTACCTTCGATTTTTTTTGATAAGGTTTCCCTCCCGAGTCGTCACTCGGCCAAGGATGTACCTTCGATTTTTTTTGATAAGGTTTCCCTCCCGAGTCGTCACTCGGCCAAGGATGTACCTTCGATTTTTTTTGATAAGGTTTCCCTCCCGAGTCGTCACTCGGCCAAGGATGTACCTTCGATTTTTTTTGATAAGGTTTCCCTCCCGAGTCGTCACTCGGCCAAGGATGTACCTTCGATTTTTTTTGATAAGGTTTCCCTCCCGAGTCGTCACTCGACCAAAGATGTACCTTCGATTTTCCTGAAAAGATTTCCCTCCCGAGTTGTCACTCGGCCAAGGATGTACCTTTGGATTTCTTCAAAACGTTTCCCTCCCGAGTCGTCACTCGGCCAAGGATGTACCTTCGACTTTCCTGAAAAGACTTCCCTCCCGAGTCGTCACTCGGCCAAGGATGTACCTTCGGCTTTCTTGATAAGGCTTCCCTCCCGAGTCGTCGCTCGGCCAATGATGTACCTTCAATTTTTCTGAAAAGGTTTCCCTCCCAAGTCGTCACTCGGCCAAGGATATACCTTTGGCTTTCTTGAAAAGGCTTCCCTCCCGAGTCGTCACTCGGCCAAGGATGTACCTTCGATTTTCCTGATAAGGTTTCCCTCCCGAGTCGTCACTCGGCCAAGGATGTACCTTCGGTTTTCCTGAAAATGTTTCCCTCCAGAGTCGTCACTCGGCCAAGGATGTACCTGTGGATTTCTTGAAAAGGTTTTCCTCCCGAATCGTCACTCGGCCAAGGATGTACCTTTGGATTTCTTGAAAATGTTTCCCTACTGAGTCGTCACTCAGTTCGTCGTTCAGTTACCATTTAAAGACTCCTTCGGCAGCTTGAACCTGTTCGACACCTTCGGTAGCCTGAACCCGTTCGGCACCCTCGGCAGCCTCAACCTATTCCGCACCCTCGGTAGCCTGAACCCCTTCGACACCTTCGACAGCCTGAACCTGTTTGGCACCTTCGGTAGCCTGAACCTGTTCGGCACCTTCGGTAGCCTGAACCCGTTCGGCACCCTTAGCAGCCTCAACCTTTTCAGCACCCTCGTTAGCCTGAACCCCTTCGACACCTTCGGCAACCTGAACCCGTTCGGCACCCTCGACAGCCTGAACCCGTTCGGTACCTTCGGTAGCCTAAAACCGTTCGGCAGCCTCGACAACCCAAACCTGTTCGGCACCTTCGGAAGCCTGAACCTATTCGACACCTTCGACAGCCTGAACCCGTTTCGGCACCCTCGACAGCCTGAACCCGTTCGGCACCTTCGGTAGCCTAAACTTGTTCGGCATCCTCGGTAGCCTAAACCTATTCGGCCTTCAGATTACGAGAAGATTACGAGTGTACCTCCCAGACAAGTATTACCCTCTATGTCGCTTCGCTCCTCAAGGCTGGGGGGCTTGTGTACCGGAAGGGTCCTATCGGCCACGTGGACCGACATGTGATGTCCTATCGGACTTCGACACAATTCTCGGCACGACCTCGGCTCGGCAGAGGGCTAAAAACTAAGGACAACCCAACCCTTTTTCTATCGACTCGGCCAAAGGCCGAGAACGAAGAGGTTGTCCCGACCTTTTCCTATCGGCTCGGCTAAGGCCGACAGAGCCAGACAGTAGTTAGGACGATGATCATGATTAACAAGGGGAAGCACGCGATTAAGGTCACGTGGATCGATACGTCATGTCCTATCAGATATTGACGCAGTTTGGACACTACTTCGGCTCGGTAAGGGGCCGAGAACCATGGAGAATTCAACCCTCTTCCTATCGGTTCGACCAGAGAGGTTGTCTCGGGCGTGCCCTGTCGACTCGGCCAAAGGTTGTCTCGGCCGTTCCCTATCGGCTCGGCCAAAGAGGTTGTCTCGAACGTGCCCTGTCGGCTCGGCCAAGGACCAATAGAGAATAGTTAGGATGATAATCATGGTTAACGAAAGACAACACGCAATTAAGGCGTAACCAGCCGATTAACATCGTATTACCTAATTCGGTAAATGTCAGAGAAGGCCCACCCCGCTCAGGTCCATGACAGGTAGTATAAATAAGTCACACGAAACGAGGTATGTCACTGTTCATTTATTACTCTCGAGAATTATGCTTGTCCTGACTTGAGCGTCGGAGTGCCTTTTGCAGGTACTTCCCCCCTCTAAAGCATCAACTCGAAGCTCTCGTTCGACCCTCCAATTACTAGAAGACTACGAGTGTGCCCTTAGACAGGTACAATTTCTAAGGTTAGCTTTGCATTTTTGTGCAAGATCAAGCCGGGATAGAGACTGGGCCTAGGTCTGTTTCAGGTGTAGATGAAATAGAGGAGTCATATGCTTCTTGAAGAATATAAAGAGAGAGAGGCCCAAAAACAGCTCTTCATTCTGAGAAATTAAAAAAAAAATCAAATCATGAGATAATTCTTAACTTATGCCAAGTGGAGATGATTTAATAGGAAAAGGAATATATTAAAGTGAATTTGAAAAAATAAATTGTGCTTGGTAGAGGACATTTAATGAGAATTGTGAGAAATTAAAAGTGGGTTTTTCACTATTTTTAATACCCTAACTCATCATTGAAGGGATTCTTATAGAATTTAAGAAATATGTAATTTTTTTTATTTTTAAATTTAAATCAAATTATAAAGAGAGGGTAAAATGATAATTGAAAATATAAATTTTATTTCTCACATAATTCTACTTCAGCAAACAAGTACAAATTCTCTTTAATACATACACATTTAATTTACTAAATAAAAAATACAATTATTTAAACTTATATATATAAGTACTAAAGTTGGTGTAGTGATGAAAGTTTTGGAATAAAATATAAAATATGTATTTGAATCTTATTTTTGTGATTATAATTCTTAAAAATTAATTAAAAGAAAACAAATATATATATACTTTAATTAAAGGGTTTAATGGTGATACATATTAATATTGTAAAATAGTTATATATTGTCAACTAATTAAAAAACAAAATTCGTATAACTTTTAAAATAATTATTCAACAAATTTATTATTTATGATAAATTATAATTAGTTGACGATATAAAATTATTTTACATTGTTAATATATCATCATTAAAACTAAGAAGACTATAATTTTTATTGATTAATCATATAAAACATTTTACACTCATCACTATATGTCATTATTAACCTCATAACTAAAAGGTTTAACTCCTGAATATTACACATGTACTTAGAAGCAAAAATATAACTTAATCAAGGATATTCTCAACTATATAATATCCATATCAAAAGTGGAGGATATGCACTTGTGTTTCACATCACATATCTAGCAAGAGCACTTTTAAGAAATTTTATTTAATGAGATAAATTTTTAAGGATTTTTTTAACTTCTTATGTAATTTTAATTATTTATTATAATTATTTATAAATTAAATTTAATATTTTTAAAATAAATTATAAATAAATAAAAAAAATAATATTGTGTTATAGTATAAATTATTTATCATAAATGTAAATTATAAATATAAAAATATCTTTCTATACAAATTTTAAATATAATTTATATATTTAATTATAATATTTATTTTTATATATAATTTATTATAAATTTTAGTTATATTAAATAAATATTTTATTTTTATATTATAAATATTAGTATATTATAAATTAAAAAAAATAATTTATTCGAACTTAACTGTATGAAAACAGATACAAAGTGATGGCAGATATTTTCGTTAAATTCTTTAATTTTATTTGTCTTAATTTCAAGTTAAATATTTGTTTATCCAATGAAAGAGAGATAGTACTCATACGGGCATGAATTTTCTCAATTATAATTTTTACATCGATTCTCTGTATTTCCACCACCAAAACTTCATGTCTTATTTTTTTCATTATTTAAATTCTTTTATCTCATTTTTAATTAGATGTTGAAATTTCACTGTACATAAATGCCGCTTGAGAGGATCCAAACTTGTACTCATATTTGTATGATTTCTCAAGAAAAAAATATTATACTAAATAAAAATCTTGTATTAAATTAACTCACTAGAATCAGTTTAATGAAGAGATTTGTATGAATTTCTAAATAAATTCTAACTTCATTGTATTGTACACTCACAAAAAAATTGTTATATTAAACTACAGGAATAGAAAATTCATTTAAGTTGTTGTTTTTTTAGGTTCGTTCCTGGAGTATCCACCGCCGACAACAGTGACTAATCTCCTCGCTACGTTGGAGGCACCTCAAAGGGTGGGATAGCTGGCCCCAAGATTTAACGCGGCTGCATACACAAGGCAGGATTTAAGTTGTTGTTTAATTTATTGATCAACTGAATTCTATTAATTTTTTATAAAAAAAATCACAAGTTTGTTAAGGTTCAATTTGCTTTCTTAAAAAAGTCGATAAAATTGAATTAACCATGTTAAAAATTCAATATAATATGGGCCAATCTTATTTTTTCTATGCTTTATGATTATGATTTTGAGTTTAATTTAATCTTATAAAATTAATCAATAAAATAAAAATTATTTTTATTTATATATTCTATTTTGTAGTCTTATTTAATTTCTTTTAATACTATACAACTCTATACAAAATAATATTTCAATTGTTTTCTAGGAATTTGAACTAAGTTAGTTGATTATCGATCATTTCAAGAATCATCCGTCCAACAAGAAACCATGACTTGTAAATCAATTCCAAGAAGAGTTTTGGCAACCTAGACAATAAATTCCAATAACTGCCATGCTAACATTTTCATCCTTCCTTCCACGAACTCTCCTTAACAAAGAAAGAATGACTTGTTACATGTAACACGGTATCTTTAAATTTAGACTTCTCATTACCATTTCAGTGTGAACACATCATGGTTGTCATATATTGTCAATTTGCAATCAAAATAATCAATAATTTGAGTATAAGTGGGACCATGGAGTTTGACCTTTAAGTCCACCCAATAAACTGGGTCATCGCATACATACATGAGTCTATATAAACCAGTTTGAGTTATAAGCACATATCAAATACACTAAGGTGAGAGAAATAATTGAAAGAGGTGAAAGTGATAATGATGATGATGAAGAAGAAGGTGTGCACCTATGCAATAGTGTTGGTGGCGTTACTTCTTGTGGAGGTGATTCCCAAAGGAGAGTCGGTGACATGTAGCCCTGTGGAGTTAAGTCCTTGTTTGGGGGCAATCACTTCCTCATCTCCACCATCAAGCACATGTTGCCAGAAAGTGAGGGAACAAAGGCCATGCCTTTGTGGTTACCTCAAAAACCCTAGTCTACGACAGTATGTCAATTCTCCTGGTGCTAGAAGGGTTGCTAGCTCTTGTGGGGTTCCCTTCCCAACTTGTTAGTGTCACCCTAATTATAATAATATACTGTGTAATAAATTAGTATGCAAATATATACTCAATATCTTATGTTTAAATCTTGTTATAAAAAAACAGGTACTACCCAGAAAAATAATGTGGTTCAAGAGCACTTGTTTGCTTGAACAAATATGATTATTAATTAATGAGATGTCTAAGAAATTAAGTGAATGATTAAATTTGCTGTATTTCAGTTCTTGATATGGTGGTTTTACTTTTCTTCCATTAAAAACAATTGTATGGATAGTGATTTATGAGTTAGCGTACAGCTAAGCAGGTCATGATTCATGAATAGTAAGTATATTACAAGTTTAAATGTTTTTAATTTTGAGAAAATTATACAGTATCAATTGGGTTTAATATAATATTTTGACCAACAAAAATATTAATAAATAAATTTTATGCGATAATATTTAACTAATTTTATAACAAAATGTGAATATGAGAACTAAAACAAATTTTTTTAAAATTACACAGACTAAAAAAGTAATTTTAAGTTTGAAAAATTAAAAATTTATTTTATATTTAAAAGACTAAAAACATATTTAAATCTATATTATATATTATGAATGTAGGGTCAACCGATCGGTGATGTTAGCATGAGGATTATTGGAGTAAGTTTTTTTTATAACATATTTTTTTATTTATATTGAGTTCAATTTTCACATATAAAAAAAATATGATATTTAATTGAGGTTGAATTGTTTTATTAGATAAATTTTATGTTAAAACAAGAAGAAAAGAAGAAAAAAAAAGGCAGTAACATAGATAATAAGTAAAGTAAAAAAATAAAATTAAGAAACAAAACAGAATGGCATTGTTAGTCTTTAATTTGGGAAAACTAATTTCAATGGTTTTTAATTAATTATTTTTGAAGTATATTATTATTTCTAAGGTTAGCTGAGTCCTCCTCCATCATCAGCTTTGCATTTTTGTGCAAGATCAAGGCCGGGATAGAGACTGGGCCTTGTATCAGGTGTAGATGAAAGAGAGGGGTCATATGCTTCTTGAAGAATATAAAGAGAGGGAGGCCCAAAAACAGTTCCGCATTGTGAGAAATTAAAAAAAAAATAATCAAATCATGAGATAATTCTTAGCCTATGTTTAATGGTGATGATTTAATAAGAAGAGAAATAGATTATAGTGAATTAGAGTGAATTTGAAAAGAAAAAAAATTGTGTTTGGTTGAGAACATTTAATAAGAATTGTGAGAAATTAGAAATGGGTCTTCCACTATTTTTAATATCCTCACCATTGAAGGGATTCTTATGAAATTTAAGAGATATGTAAGATTACAACATTTAAAAAAAAAAAATTCAAAGCACATTGTAAAGAGAGGGTAAAATAGTAATTGAAAATACCAATTTCACTTTATTTCTCACATAATTCCACTTTATCAAATAACTACAAATTTTACTATATTTTTTTTTACCTATTTTCTATCAAGTCAATTATCACCTATTCTCTCTTATTTCTTTCAATTCCTCCCCCTTCTCCAAACCCAAACAAAACATTAATGAAAAAAATCTGGATAAAATTGAAAGGTAATACAAACACATTTAATTTACTAAATAAAAAAACACAGTTATTTAAACTTATATATATATATATATA